ACAAATCGATCAATTATTCAATATCATTTGCTCCTTGTCAGTACATCAGCGTATGTATCCATATCCACAGAGAGAACAATCCAATGACGACCATGAACGATGCTACAACAGTGCAACCGCATCAATCAATTCAGTAGAGCAATTACTTCCAGTCAATAATATCAATCGGCTTAGAATCCCATAAATCGATCAAATCAATACATCGTAAAAGCAGTTGAAATAAATCAATACGATCGGCAAAGACAATTGAAATCAATCAATGCAATAAAATCATATACAACAATCAAATCGATAAATCAATAAACAATCAACCCAATCAATCAATCAATCAATGGCTATTTTGCTGTTGTAGAATCCATATTGTTGTTGTAGATATCCATACGTTGGTTTCAATAAGAGTCGTCACTCTGTGCCCGTCGGCATATTAAACTCCTTATGACTCCCAATCATTATATCAATGATCAATGATTTAAACGAAAGTCCGTCGGCCCACCATCCTGTACAGGTCAAGTCAATCTCCAACCAACGTTCAACCAGGTTCCACTTGTCTTTCAGCATCAATAATCAGATAGTCACATTCATATGCAATCAAATCATCAATTTTGGAAAAATCAGAAATCGTACGAAAATCCAGCGGCATAACGGCAGTATACGGAATTTACACAAAAATCCTACATAATCATAATTCACCAAATTACAATAGAATGTTCACGACAATAATATAAGACTATTACTCTACTTAATCAATATCAATAAACATCCTGATATTTTTCTATTCGATCAAAATCGTGTAGAACCCAAAATAACCGGTGAAATCGTTCCAAAAAACAATCAAATCGCGTAGAATATTCATATCTATAACATATTAAAAGTTGTGCGGTGAAAGTTGTGTCAATACAAAACGGTGAGCGTTTTTCGGTAACGAAAACACAAATCTGAGCACAAAACGACCAAAACTCAACATCTTTGAAAACAGAAATAGGATTCGGAGTCCTTACAGCGAGATAAACAAATTGTTCAACAGCGGCGACGGACGAAAAGCGCTCCGCGGCCTCCGAAAATGAACTTTTCCTTTGCTTTTCTTCTCTTTCTCTCTCCTCAGATATTTTCATTTTTATAAAAATGTTTTCTCTCTCCTGAAAACAAGCTGATTTTCTTATAACATTAGTCTGATCGGCCCGGCCGATCGCCACATCGTCCTGGCCGATGTGAACAATTTTCAATCATCCAGGACGATTCCTCAGGCCGATAATTTCGATTTTGCTCTCGGGATTTTTGTCTCATCTGATCGTCCCAAGACGATCCAAAATCGGTCTGGACGATCCCATTCCAGAAAAATCAGCTGTTTCAATGCACTGATCGTCCCGGACGATCCTGGGAGGAAAATCAAATCTAGAGAGAAACAAATCAAAGGAACGAGCTCTCACACCCGGCGCTTCTAGTTCCAAAGAAAGACAGCAACTGGCGAATGTGCATGGATAGCCGTGCCATCAATAAGATCACAGTCAAGTTTCGTTTTCCTGTACCATGGGTGGAGGAATTATTAGAAAGGCTGTCGGGAGCTACCGTATTTTCCAAACTTTACCTCAGGAGCGGCTACCATCAGATTCGAATTCGACCTGGCGAAGAGTGGAAGACGGCTTTCAAAACCCGCCATGGGCTCTACGAGTGGAAAGTCATGCCGTTCGGGTTGTGTAACGCTCCATCTACCTTTATGCGGTTGATGACCGATGTGCTCAAGCCTTTTCTGAACATCAGCTGCGCGCATATTTTGACGATATTCTTGTCTTCAGCGCCTCGTTGACCGATCATGTGGTTCATTTAACAGAGATTTTCTCTGTTTTCCAGGAAAATCAACTATATCTAAATCCGAGTAAGTGTGAATTTGCTGCCTCTTCCATGTATTTCCTTGGTTTTGTTGTTTCAGCCGCAGGAGTTCAAGTAGATCGGTGGAAGGTGGAGGCTATCACGAATTGGCCAGTTCCCAAGTCATTCACGGATGTACGCAGCTTCCATGGACTAGCAAACTTTTATCGCCGGTTCATCAAAGATTTCAGCTCTATAATGGCGCCGATCACCGATTGTCTAAAACTGAAGCAGTTTCAGTGGGGTAGTGATCAGGAGGGCAGTTTTGAAGCAATCAAACGAGCCTTGTCTTCTGCCCCTGTGCTAGCATTACCAAATTTCGAAAAGCCATTCCACGTTGACACCGATGCATCAGGCATTGGTATTGGAGCTGTCCTCAGTCAGGAGAATCGTCCGGTGGAATTCTTTAGCGAGAAGCTATGCCCCTCTCGTCAAAAGTGGAGCGTGTATGAGCAAGAACTCTATGCGGTGGTGCGAGCACTTAAGCAATGGGAGCCATATTTACTGCAGCAGGAATTTGTTCTGTGCAGCGACCATCGAGCACTTCAATTCATCAACAAACAGAAGCACATTAACCGAATGCACGCGAGATGGGTTTTATTCTTGCAACGATTCTCATTTGTTTTGAAGCAAAAATCCGGAAGACAGAACATTGTGGCTGACGCCCTTAGCCGGCGCCACATTCTCCTTACTCAACTGAGAACGGAAATTACTGGACTAGAGTGCTTGAAGGAGTTATATGCAACTGACCCAGAGTTTGGAAGTATATGGGAAGCTTGCCAAAATGATAATTCAAATGTGGAATACATCATTCGACATGGGTTTCTGTTCAAACGAAATCAACTCTGCATACTCGAGTCATCATGGCGACCGCAGCTCATTAAAGATGTCCATTGCGGTGGACTAGCAGCGCATGTGGGACGAACAAACACTTACATACAGCTCCAATCTCAATTTTTTTGGCCTCACTTACACAGGGATGTAATGAGATTTTTGGAGAGATGCCCCATTTGCCAAAGTTACAAAACCGAGGGGTCAACTCAGTGGATTGTACCTGCCGTTGCCCACGTCGGAAACCATCTAGGAAGATTTGAGCCTTGATTTTGTAATGGGGTTACCACGTACTAAGCGCGGGCATGATTCGATCATGGTGGTGGTTGATCGATTTTAAAAAATGGCTCATTTTGTGCCATGCAAGAAGACCTTCGACGCGCTAAATGTTGCGCGTATCTTCTTCGCCGAGATCGTCAGATTACATGGACTGCCCCGGAGCTTAACATCTGATCGTGATGTAAAATTCATTAGTCATTTTTGGAAGGAGTTATGGAAACACTTGCACACTGACATCAAATTGAGTTCAGCTTATCATCCGCAAACGGATGGTCAAACTGAAGTTATAAATAAAACGTTGGGGAATATGCTGCGTTGTGTAGTTCAGGAGCACCAGAGACTTTAGGACGAATTACTGGGGCAAGCTGAATTTGCATACAACAGTATGACTAATCGTTACACCGGGAGAAGCCCATTTAGCATTGTCTACACCAAAAACCCGAATCACACAGTGGACTTGGCTGTGCTTCCCAAATGCAACAGTAAACCCACTGCAGATTTTGCGGGCCAATTCTCCAGTATGCTGCAAGACGTCCGTGAGAAGCTGATAGAATCTAATGCCAAGTACAAGGAGCAAGCAGATAAGAAACGAAAACAACGGTCTTTTAAACCAGGGGACTTAGTGATGATCCCGGTTAGGCGAGAACGGTTCCCTCCAGGAACTTACTCCAAATTAAGCCCCCGCAGAATTGGGCGGTATGCGGTAGTCCAGCAGATCAATCCAAATGCTTACGTAATTGATCTACCAAAACACTACAACACCTCCTCCACTTTCAATATTGGAGACCTTGCCGTTTATCATCCACCGGATTCGGCAGACACTAATCTGTCATCTTCCGATTCAGATTCTGTTGGTGGGGGAGAATGATACGGTGCATCAAGTCTTGCGGCTGCTGTCATTTATCCTTTAATTACTCTTTTACTTATCTGTTTTTAATTAGTGTTATTTCTGCTATTCCGTTAGTGAGTGACTGCTCCACTAACTTAGTTTCCTTATTTAGTTACTGTTTTAGGCCCTGCCTTAGTTTGCTTTTCCCGTAGCTATTTTTAGTAGTAAGCCCACTGTTATCTTCTTCGTTGGAAGAGGAGAAAGGCAGTTGATGAAATACACTATTTGGCTTTAGCCATTACTGTTCCATTGCCTTCTTTACTGTTTTGTCTTGTGAACCTGCTTCTTCCTCATTATACCACATCATTTATCTTCATAAACAATATGTTATTCTCAAAACAATGTTTCTTTGAAAAAAAAAATAGGAACATCCAAATCATGTGGATTTTTTTTTTCTCACAAGGTATGGTCAATGAATCTTGTAATAATATTGGCGGCCTCTTGGGTGAGGCGCTTGAGCCATTTTAGTAAGAAGTCCACGAGGTATCCGCTTGCTTACTTCCCTTCTTTCTCTCCGAGCCTCTCCGATGACAAGAAGATCGGTGCGATACGCCGTGGCGAGTATCCTTGCCCCCTTTCCCTTCGTCTTTTCTATCTCCTTCTTTCTCCAACCACTTCTCATTTCTTTTCGCTAATTTCTTCAATGTATTTTCCATCCAGGTTGACGCTTTCACTGATACTCCTTTCAAGGGGAACCCTGCTGCCGTCTGCTTACTGGAAGAAGAAGTGGGAGTGGATGACAACTGGATGCAGAATGTTGCCAAGGAATTCAATATCTCTGAGACCGCTTTCTTGCTCCCCTCCAACGCCTCCTCTAAACCTCGTTTCCGTCTCCGATGGTTCACTCCCGTGGCAGAGGTGAGGATTTTAGGCATTTAAGTTGTCAAATTTGAAGCTTGAAGGTGAAATCGGAAATTACTAATTTTAGCGTATTCGTGTCCAACTGACTAGCGCATTTTAAGCCGAGAAATTATATTCCCCAATTAAAACCTACACAAAAGATCATCCTGAATTGTCTTTTGATTAAGCTGATTGCTAGAAGCATTTAACTCGTACCTTTGCATGAAGTGGAATTATAGTCCATTGGTCAGGAGCTAATTTAGCTTTAGAACGAGTAGTTATACCTGCATTTGACTGATTATTTCAAATAGATAAACTCAGGAACTTTTACAAATATTCACGTTAAAAAGTAGTGTACTTCCAAAGAAAATGCATACATTTATAAGATGGCCGTTAACATTAACTTTTATTAATTCCTCATGACGCGAGGATAGCAAAAGCGCTAGGGCAGTTGTTGTAACCTTGATCTGATATGCTCCCTGGATTTCGCCTACCTCAATTGTAGAACATCAATAAATAAGCATTAAAATGGATATAAAAACTATTGCAATTATTTTACCAGTACATTGCTTTTTTATTTGAAAACAATCTTTTTAGGATATAATAAGTTAACGAATTACAGGTTGGTAAAGCTACTCATTTTCAGTAAGAAGGTTAGGAAGTAGCAACAAATATCTTCTTGGCAGATGCCGATTCTTTACCCATGGGTAACTTATAACTTATAAACGCACGTGTGCCGCCTCGCCAATTGCTCCACCTGAACAGCAAACTCGACTCTATATTCCCGCCGTGAACAGTGCGACGTCAAGGCCTCACATTGTTCACCAACGCAATTTTTTTTTTTTTTGAAAATTTATAAAGTTCAGTTCAAGTCTAGGTTTTTATTATTAATAATAAAGAATTATGAATTAATAATGTATAAAAGTATTATTTTTTAAATTTTAAACTATTTTTTATATAATTAATTTATTTAAATTAGGTTATTCATTTTAAATAATGTAAAATGCATCTCATGCATTTGT